AATCCTTTTGCAAATTTAGCATCCATCTTCTTTCTCTTTTGTTTAGGTATATGAACATAACATTCGTATGATATGATACTTAAATGATGCACTCTAGGTTTCTTCCCCATCCATAACTCACAAGGACTTTTATTTTCTACTGATGACTTGCCAGTTCTGTTTAGTATATATATTGCTGTTCTTACTAATTCAGCCCATATAGCATCTGGAAACTTTGCTTCTGTATTGGAATATTTGAATGTACGAGCCATCTCAACAACTGTACGATTTTCCCTTTACTAGCGCAATTCTGTTGTGGTGTATAGGGAGCTGTTAATCTTTGCATGACACCATTCTTCTTTAGAATTGACTTTATTTCATGGTTGTCAAACTCACGACCATTGTCGCTTAATAATTCTTTTATATGATGACCACGATTATTTGCTAACATCAGAACTTCTTCTAAGCAGTCTCTAACTTCAGACTTTTGTTTTACAACAAATCCAAAACGATACTTCGTATATGAATCTTTAAAAATCACCAGGTACTTCTTTTTAAAAAACGACTCATAAAATGGTCCACAGACATTTCTATGACCAAACGGCAACCGAATAGCTTTTCCATAGGTACACGGCTCACAAACAGTTTTATCATCTTTAACACTAATACCCATTTCTAATTTTAGCATCTTCTGTATGTGTTGTTGTTGTAACAGTTTAGAGCGGGCTTTTGAGATGGCAATCAAATGTCAATTAATAATCAGATTAGTTAATCAAAAAATAAATTTAATCTTACGTTAATCCTCTTTGTTGTTTTTGAGTACTGTTTGTTATCAAAACAATGCATATTTTATAAAAAAGAAGACAATTGTAAATTTAATATGAAAATTAATGAAAACTTAAATTAAAAACAAAAAAAATGTATTTTGAAGTGTACATAATTTATACTAATCAATAAATAGAACATTTTAATGTTTATATTTGTAAAAATAGTATTAATTTTTTTGCATCAGCTGTTTACGCTTTTGCATTTCGTGCTTAAGTGTAAACCACCTCCATTGGGCGCTTAAACTTGCAAACAAAATTAACTAATTGAGTACTCAAAAACATCTTTCAAGGATTAATTTTAATTTAATCGCTAATCTTTCACCTAAAGATTGGCCCTTAAACTATACAATTTTTAATCCGGGGGTTTTGTATTTAGGTCCATGCCAAGAACTTGGGCTACTTCAATAGGGTTAGTCCATAAATCCATTGGGCTAAGTGAAGTAGGGTGGGCTGGACAGTTGAATATGTGGTGGGTATCATGGTGACCCTGTCCACATGCTGGGCATATATTGGGGACGGCACGGTCTTTGCGGGATTGGTGACATCCCAGGAGGAACTGTTTAGTCAGCATGACATTATGTTCTTTGACTGGGAGGACCTTCGATTCCTCGTGTAGATGGTGCTCTGAGGTTATTTGCATGCAGCCCGTTACACTGGAGCAGCATAATTGACCACTGGCCGGCCAATTGTTTTATAGGTAGCCAACAAGGTTTCTTTGTCCATTCCACAAGTGCTGGCGGCTAGCGCTTTGAGGACCTTGTTTCTACTTCGCAATATGTGCGTAATTGCAGTGGCATGAGCTGAGGAAGTAAACGGGCTGCCAAAGGTGACCCCCAAAATCTTTGGGTGGTTCACAGTTGGTATTTGGTTTCCATCGACTACGACGCCTAGGTTCAAGTTTAGCTCCATCGTCCAGGTGGTGAAAAGTCTTCGCTGGTGATAGTTTCAGGTTACGTCCAGTGAAGAAGTTGTGTATTTCTCCGAGATAACCATTCACTCGATCGCATAGCTCATCAACATTTTGGCCCGTCGCCATAATGGTACAGTCGTCCGCATAAGATATAACTTCCACACCTTGTGGAGGTGTGGGGTGTTTAGAGAGGTAGAAGTTAAACAAACAAGACGCCGCCCTGTGGTACACCCTGTTTAACTCTACGGGTTTTGGTACATTTGTATCTAAACTCAACGAACGACTGACGGCCACTCAGATAACTTATAATCCATCTCTACAAGTTGTTGGGCATGGGGGACTGCAGGATGTCCTCGAAAAGTGTGGTATGGCTGACTGTATCGAAGGCCTTCGATAAGTCTAGCGCCACTAGGAGTGTCCTTTCACAAGGCCTCTGCTGGTTTAAGCCTTGTGAGATCTGAGTGGTTATGGCGGTTAATGCTGAGGTGGTGCTGTGCATCTTATGGAATCCATGCTGGTGGCGAGCTGCTGTTAGATGGCAGGACAGCTGGGGGAGGAGGAGCTCCTCAAGAGTCTTCGCGACTGGTGACAGGAGGGAAATCGGCCTGTAGGATTGACCCTCTGTCGCGTTCTTCCTTGGTTTCAGTATCGGGATGACTCTACCCTTTTTCCAGACATTGGGTATTATCGGGCTGCTCATTGACAGGTTAAAAACCATTGTCAAGTACCCGACTCCCCGTTCGCCAAGGTGTTTCAGCATCAGCATGGATATGCCGTCGGGGCCAATCGCCTTAGATGGTTTGGCTGCGTTGATGGCCTCAGCAACTTTAGAAGGGTTGTGGAATGTCCGAGACTTGAAGGTTGTGAAGTTTATCTCTCTGGGGTGCTCAATAAAAAGTCGGCAAAATGCACGCGAGCACCGTTCAGGGTCGGAAATAGTGGTGTCTGCAAACTTAATCGCGACCCTGTCATCCTTCTTCGTCTGGTTGGAGAGAGACCTAACTGTAGACCACAACTTACTAACACCTGAGCTTAGGTTGCATTTCTTCAAATTATCTAACCATTTATTCCGCTTGTCCTCATTTACCAACCAGCTGATTCAGCTGGACAAAACGTGGGTCGTCGGGGTTGATATTTCGGAGGTCAACGCGTTCGTCTGCTAGTCTCGCTGCCTCTGCTGGGAAGTGCGGCCGCACTATGTATAGTCGACCAGCAGGAATATAGCGGCCTGCTGCTGCAATGACAGTTTCGCGGAACTTAATCTCTGCTTGGTGTACGTCGCTAGGAGCTGGAAGATCATTGAAGATGCGATCAGTGAATTCTCTGAAGCCGAGCCAGTCTGCTTTCTTTTGGTTTATGTAGAGTCGGCGTTCAAAAACGATGAAGTCGTTGGGTCGATCCAGTCAAACGCTTATGTGTAAGTGGTCTGATAAGTAAGTAAGTGGTCTTATAACACCAGCTATTGTAATGTCTGGAGAGCTGGCGCAGTTACCCATAATACGTGTGGGGGCATCATCATTTAGTGATGCGCATTGAAGTCCCCAAGGACCAGATGCAAATCGCCGTCTTGTAAGGTCCTAATGTCGGCTACTGGCGGAATGTAGACACAAAGTATACAGAGGTGTCAAATTTGACAGTTCAAAAACACTGAAATCAGCTTTTTTTGAAATGGTCTCGGTAGACAGAGAAAACAAATTCTTGGGTTTAATACAGACAGTGCGTTAAAACAACACTATATAACGATAAACCACGATGTTATTTTGGTTATCTCGGGCAATTTACTCTGGAGGCCATTGCAGTTAAACTGCAATATCACCCCAGGTCTCTGGACAGCAATCGATGGAGTCAGGCGAGGGTTGTTGTTGCTGCTGTGGATGTTGTGTTTGCTGCGGTTGTTGTGATTGCGGAGGTGTGGCGTATGATGAGACGATGTCAATGATGCCATTGAATTTCGTTGCTGTTGTTGGCAGCATGAGGCGACAAAAGTCTCCGACCACTCCCGATGATGGCTTAGTCCAGAGCAGTTCCTGAGGTGACACCAGCCCAAACACGCGTTGCACCTTAATTGAGTGGACATATGGTGCAACCGGTTCTGGCAAACTGTACAGAACCATGGTCCGGGATTTATTTCTATTCCGGCACGGACCAACAGGATACGGAGTTGCTGGGGTTATCAGCCCTTGGCCGATAATTTCGTCGGAAAATGTTTTTGTAGATAGGGCCTTTTGTTTTTTGTCAATAAAATCGCTAATTTTGGTCGGAGGAGTCCAATTTTTTATTAGGGCCGTTTGCGTTTCAGGTGACGATATATGTTTTTAATTTCGAATTGTGGAGATAGACCAAAGGTAACACACCCAAAGTTAATCTCGAAGATCATATCAAATATCGTGAAATGGGTTTCTGAATCAGAAAGATAATGTCCAAATTATATACAATCCACTCCTAACTCATTTTTTTAAAATTCCCCGCAAAAAATAATTGATGTCATACTTTTCAAACGACATATTTTAATAACATCTATTACACATTTTTCACTTTTATAAACTAGTACCTCGTTTCTGTAATTTTCTCAAATCGAGAAAAAACTTAAAATATAATAGTCTTCCAGTTTTTAACAGTGTGACTCTGATTATTTTTAAACTGTACTCATTAAAATTTAATAAGAAATTTTTAAATTTCATTTATTCACCCTATTTTACACAAGATGATCATGAATTTTTCGACAGATTATCTCGATGCGAGAATTACAGAAACGGGGCACAGATGTTTACTTACAATTGAAAACAAAGTTAAAAGTGAGGAAAGAGATGTAGAAAGGTCACTACAAATAACATATTCGAAGTTCATAAAATGTTGGTGAAAAACCAATGAAATTTACACAAGCGTGTCATTGAGTGAATATGTTTTATTTTAGACATCCAAATATCAGATTTTTACAGCTTCTAAAAACAAGGTTAGGTATAGTTAAATTTTTTTACATTAGCTTGGAAGTAGATCTAATATTATTTACAGAAACAGTAAAAGTCGGATAATTGGATGTCAAAAATAAACCACATTATTTCTATTACACACTTATATACATTTCATTGGTTATTTTCTACCGAAAAAGTATTAATATGTATGTCGTTTGTAAAGTATGAATTCCATTATTTTTTCGAACTGAAAATTTCGAGAATCAATGCAATGCACTAGTAGTTAGCAACGACGAACTACCTACCACTTATAATTTAGGTTTCGAAACGTTTTTTAAAATGTAGAAGAAAATAAATCTAAATTTTAAACACTAATTATTATATGTGAATTTATTTTAAATTGTGTTTTACAAGCTAAAATTATGTTATACTGGCCTAAATATTTATTGGCCAATTTTGTTGCGTTTATGTATTAAATAAAATCCTTTAAATTACAAATTGTGGTCTTGTTGTTATTTGCATGTATCTATGGGTTACTTATAAAAATCTAAATTTTATTTTATGCAATATGTATTTCAATGATCAAAATAAAAAATTAGGGATCCGCTTTATAACGTAGTGTTATGAGCTTATTATCAAACCCGTCGAAGTATGGATGTTCCAATACGTCTTTTGCTGATATGCGATGAACTGGATCGTAGATAAGCATTTTTTGAACTAAATCAAGTCCTTCGCTATTAAGATTTTTCAATTGATTGGGTAATTGGTTTGTTGACCAACATGGAAACGTATTTTTGTAATCTGGAAGTGATGTAACGCCTGGCCAAATTTCTTCTGTTGGCGTTTTAAGTATCCTGAATAAAATAAAAAATATATAATAGTTGTGTGAAATGAAATATAAAATGCTACAAAATAAACAATAAAACAAAATTATTTTACCTAATATTTTTCTGTACAACATGGAGAATTAAAAATTAATTCACATTTTGTCGTAATTTTGGGTATATCACAATTTTGTATTTTTTTAGTTCTGATTTATTTATTTAAGCCATCTTTGAGCCATTTTATTTAATTATGTATTTAACCGATCTATTATGGATAATATGTGGTAAAATTCATAACATTAATGCATTAATTAATAATGCATGAAATGAAATATGTACTAAAAAATATTTCCTTAAACAAAGCAAGAAATTATAGTCGGGTACGATCGACCATATGATACCCTACACCAATTACGAATATATTTAAAATATTATTTAATTTAAATATTAGCGCATTTATGTAGAATTTTGCTTAATTTCCGTTATATTTAAAAATTTTTTTTGATTACCTGAAAAAAGATGAGGGCGGGTGTTAAAAATTGTCCGACCCTCATAAAATTTTTTGAGAATATGTATTTTTCTACACTTACATTTATTTCGAGTAAACCGTTAACGGTATCTAAATATTGTTTGCCACCAATATACGTTTTGCAAATTAAATACACTTCTTTTCTGATCGTCGACATAAGCACTACGTGCTCTTGGCGATATTACTTCTACGAGGTAAAATATAAATAAATACGGAGAGAAATTGTGGTGGAGCTGAACAGACACACATATGGACAGCCTCAGAAAATGATTCAGATCGGATACTTTAAGGTGGGTATAGACCATTATTTTTGAACGTTTAAATCATCACTATGTAAAATTTAATTTCATAGTTTTAGAGATGAAACCTCGCATTTTGTTGTTAAGATGATTTTTTTTAATTTATTTAAAAAAATCCAAATAAGTCAATAACAAATTTATTGTAAAAATATAGAATACAATGAAAAATTTTAAAATATGCAGACTATGCAATGAAAATGTTATAAATATGCAAAATATATGCAATTTAAAGCAAAATATTTTTGGATTCGAAAAGAAAAATAGGTTAAAGTTATTTTGAGTTACTGACTATAAACAATTCGGAGGATAGAAAGTCGGCTTTTGACAAGGAAAATAAGAATATTTTATGATTGTTGGATAGACTATTTAAGATTCTATTAACTTTGTTATTGATATTTACAACAAATTTATTTTGAGTATTATAATATAGGGAAAAACAAGGGGAATGAAAGCTGATTCCGTACAATCCCTGCGTATTTTGAATTTGCAACAAATGGGTAATAGTATGTGTCTGCCGAGGTATAGTTTTTTGGTTAAAATATTTTGTAAATAAATATTTTAATTGATCGCATATTATGTGGGCTTTACACTATGAAACTTTACGTATTGAAAATCAAATGAAATCCCATTCGTATTTTAAAGAAGAGAATAAAAGTCTTATGATTTATATTTTTGCGTTAACACTATTGGTATAACACAATAACTAAAACTAAGATGGAAACAATTGTTTCTTTTATTCATCCCTGATCTAATGAAACTTTCTTGTTTTTTGAATCATTTCAAAATAAAATTTAAAAGCATGTACATAAATTACGAAATGTAAAAATAGTAATGCTAAAGAATTAGCGATGTCTAATGAGAATACAAAATATTAAATATTTCGATAAAATCTATATGAACAAAAGAAATTATGAAGTCGATGTTTTGATAGATGGCGACGTACAGCCCTAAGCAAGATAATATTTTCACCACAAATAACATACTTGAAGTACTTCCAATTTTGGTGAAAACCCTATGAATTTTACATTAGCGTCATTGGAGGGATGTTGTTCAATTTTGACAACATTGAACTACATCTAATCTTGTTTATAGAAGCAGTAAAAGTTCGATATTTGGATGCTAAAAATAAACCACATACTTTCAACGACATGCTTATGTAAATTGAATTGGTTTTTCACCAAATTTTGATGTACTTCGAATATGTTATTTGTAGTGACTTTTCTATATCTCTTTAATCACTTTTAACTGGGTTTTCGTTTGTAAGGAAATATTTGTTATAATAATATTTATTATAATAATAAATTACAGTAAACATATTTACCTGAACATACGGAATAACTGATCGATTTCCGAATCTCCTTGGAATAATGGCTTTCTTGTAGCCATTTCAGCAAAAATACATCCAATAGACCATACATCTACAGGACACGAGTAACGAGGTGATCCCAGCAATACTTCTGGAGCCCTGTACCAAAGCGTTACAATTTCATGTGTATATATACGCACGGGAATACCAAATGAACGACCAAGTCCAAAATCTGCCACTTTTATAATACCATTTTTGTCAATCAGTAAATTTTGCGGCTTAAGGTCACGATGTAAAACCCTTCTTCGATGACAAAATAAAATAGCGCTTGTAATTTGATAAAGATAACTTCTTACAAGCTCAGAATCTAATGTTTTTTCAGGTGGTAAAGAGTCCATATATTTTTTAAGATCCATAGATAAGAATTCAAATATTAAATACAAGCGATTTTCTTCCATTAAGACATCTTCAAGACAAACAATGTTGGGATGTTTCAGTTCTTTTAACAGCGATATCTCCCTAAAATTGTGCATTTATTCATTACAGATATTTAATTTTTTTGTTAATAACAAATTTAATCTGAACAATGTGCCTCCGGTAGGTTAGTATGTAATTAGTACTGTTTAAGTTAGAATTGATGTAAATACTTTTTTGTAATAGCAAACCGCTAACGGTGCTTAAATATTGTTTTGCCACCAAATTTATGCTTGTTCGTTTGACATTATAAATTACTTTTGATTTGTCTACGACTAGGGTTGCCAGCCTGGCTGGACTTGTCTGGATTGTCCAGCTTTTTTGATGCTTGTCCAGTTTCAAGCTAAAATTTAATTTGTCCAGCTAAATAGAATTTTTTTTAGTACACTGCAATAACTTTTATGCTATCTTTGTCATATCATGTTAGCCAACACTGATTGTACATTTGTTATACAACTAAGTTATGATTTCCCACATGTATCATCACTGACAACATGTCTCAACACTTGAACAGCTGATGTCGTAATAAATATTAGGTCTGTTCGCGTACTCAAAATTTGTACAAAATAAATGCGGGTTTCAATGATTTTTCATGGGTACTCCCTAGTCTATCTCATTTGACAGTCAAAAATTTTAAAAGACCATTCAGGGCATGTTTATTTTTATTACTTCCCCCCGAATAGGTCATAATTATGTTAATATTCCAGTTGTTGAAAGTATTAAACGATGGCAACCCTAATTTATGTTTCTTCCTTTTACTCTTATTACAACTGTTTAAGTTAAAATTGATTTAACTACCTTTTTGAAATACTATTTATAACAACTTTAGAATCCTATAAAGCTTCCCTATTTTTGCAACTTTGTTGGAAGATTCTAACGAGTAACCGCTAACGGTGCTTAAATATTGTTTGTCACCAAATTTATGCTTGTTTCGTTTGACATTATAAATCACTTTTGATTTGTCTACGACACAAGCACTACGTGCAATTACATTTACAAAACCATCTACTTCTACGAGGTAATATTTTGGTTTAAATAAAAAGAGATCTTCATCTCTAATAAATTTGAAATATACATTTGTTTTATTTTTATATAAAATCTTGGGAATCTTTTTGGAGCTGAACATTTGGTCCTAGCGAACCGGATTTCTTAGATCATTTATCGGATTTTTTGGATCTTTATCAGTACCGGATCTTCTTTGGCACCTTCAACTCCATTCCTATAATACAGTCCACCGGAGATATATTTATCATTTATTTATTTCTACGAAATAAGGTACGTAAATATATTTCAATTGTGAGCAAGTGATAAAATTCGTTTGTTTTGTTTCGCGAACATACACACACATTTCTTTTGTGAATTTTTGTTTTATTTTTTTAATTTGTGGATACATCTCACTAATTCGAACTCTAATTTACAGCTGTGGTCAGCTAATTGGAAACGCTCTCGTTATATTACTGCTTGACGTGATTTGTATAAAATTATGAAAATATTACGTTAGATTTTTTGTTCGAAACACATGTATTTTATAAATTGATGTTGTTATAATAAAATGGAATGCATTTTGTTGTGGAACATTTCTTATTTACTTTTCAATTTTAAATTTGGTGAAAATCGCCCAAAGCTAAATCAAAGAAATTGCGACAACTAATTGGAAACGGCCATATTTTATTAAAATTTTTTTTAAGTTAAATCTAATTTTGATAAAAAATGTAATTGCATTTGGGTATATATTGTTTCTAATTTATAAGAAATTTTACATAATTATTTTTAGGCTAAGAATGAAAATAGGCCAAAGAAATTCTCTTTCCTTGGGTAGATCTATTTTTGAACATCATAAAGCTTGTAAATCTTAAAAGGATATAGGAGAAGAGCCCTATTGTTCAAAAAAATATATTTTTAATCGTTTATAGCATTTTAAGAAATATGACACTGATACTAACGCTCCACGTGAAAAATTTTCCGAAAAAATATCAGCCCATCCCAAACCGGATAATAAGACAAATCTCTAAAGCTGGCCCAAAGGAATCATCCATGGGCATCCAGCGGTAAATTTGAGAAAAATTAGATATAACGTTATCTAAGCCAACTATTTCGCGATTTTTGACGGAATCGGGGCATCTTGAGAAAGGGCGGATGAAACCTTTTCCAACTAAAATTCAAAGAATTTGCAATATCTCTTGTATATGAAATATCGTGTTGAATTGACCTGATCTTATCAAAATTAGACGGTTAATCAGTGGAATTATTTACTTCGGAGCTTTGAAACAGAGATTAATCGTATTATACCTCAATATACAAGGTACAATAAATGGTAAAAGGTGTGGCAGATTTTCGAATGAGATATGGCAAATTCTTTAAACTTTAGCTGCTAAAGGTTTCCTTCGCGATTCTCTTCCAATATGCCCCGATTCCACCAAACATCGTGAAATAGTTGGCTAAGATAACGTTATATCTAATTTTTCTCAAATTTACCGCTGGATGCCCGTGGATGATTCCTTTGGGCCAGCTTTAGAGATTCGTATTATCATCCGGTTTGGGGGTGGGCTGATGTTTTTCTGGAAAATTTTTGACGTAGAGCGTTAGTATCAGTGTCATATTTCTTAAAATGCTATAAACGATCAAAAATATATGTTTTTGAACAAAAGGGCTGTTCTCCTATATCTTTTTACGATTTACAAGCTTTATGAAGTTCAAAAATGGATCTACCCAGGGAAGGAATATTTCTTTGTTCTATTTTCATTATTAGTCCTAAAAATAATGATGTAACATTTCTTATAAATTAAATTAATAATAATATTTACCAAAGTACAATTAAATTTTTTTATCAAAATTAGATTTAACTTAAAAAAATTTTAATAAAAAATGGTCGTTTCCAATTAGTTGTCGCAATTTCTTTGATGTATCTTTGGGCGATTTTCACCAAATTTAAAATTGAAAAGTAAATAAGAAATGTTCCACAACAAAATGCATTTCATTTTATTATAACAACATCAATTTATAAAATACATGAGTTTCGAACTGAAAATCTAACATAATATTTTCATAATATTATACAAATCATGTCAAGCTGTAATATAAAGAGAGCGTTTCCAATTAGCTGACCACAGCTGTATATTTAAAATTTTTTAATTTATTTTTGATCCTACGGACAATATATTAAATTAAAGTAAATTTTATTAAAATTTTATTACAAAAATCAGTGGTTTTTACATTTTCTTTTGTGCGTTATTTGTTTACAGATTTAGATCTGTAAAATAAAACAATAAAATACATAAACGGTTGATTCTTCTTCTACCTTTATATTAGTCACCCTACGCTCGGCCAGTTTGACTATTATCACATGTGTTTATATACATTTTGTAGTCAAGTAGTATTATTAATTTATTTATTTTAAACGACTTTTCAAATATTAAAAAATGTCGGTTTCGCCACTAAACTCGTTTATTAGAGCATCGGATGCTCTTATTGCATTCGGGGCTATGTTTAGTAATTTTGACGAAGAAATTCATACGGTTTATACTTTAGAGATTCAGAGTCAAGAGTTAAAAACACTTTGGGGTAAAGTTAAGACGACGTATAATGAATGTCTTTACTTTTTAGAGTCCGAAGAATTTGATGTGGCAGCGGCTAAATATAAAGCTACCTATACAGCGTATATCCAATGCGGAGGATCTATCCATGGAAAAATAGATGAATTCAAATCTGCTTTGAAAAGCAATGAATCTCCAACGGTAAATTCGAACTCCGGTAATACAGATCATAATCTAGCACTACCTCCTTGTGATATTGATTCCTTCAGAGGTGATTATGTTTCTTGGCCCGCTTTTAGGGATTTATTTACCGCAATTTTTATTAATAGCTCGCGGCTTAGCAATATAGAACGGCTTTGCCATTTAATAAGAAAAACCGAGGGTGAAGCAAAAGAAATCGTTTCTAAATATCCACTTGTTAACGCAAGTTTTGAAGTAGCCTGGCGCGATTTAAAGGAAGCATATGAGAATCCTCGTATGTTGGTACATAACCAACTACAACTTATTTTTGGCCTTCCTTTCCTTGACAAGGAATCGATAACAGCACTCAAAACACTACAACGCGAAATTAATAGTTGCCTTTCGGCTCTTTCTATTTATAAAGTGCCTACGGATAATTGGGATCCAATTATAATTTTTATGTGTATTCAACGTCTGCCTAGATCTACAGTTATTTTGTGGGAACAGGGTGTTAAAAACAAAACAGTTTTGTCTACATGGAAAGATTTCGATAATTTTCTGACAGAAAGAATTCAGACATTACAATGTCTTCAAGATCTTAAAGGTACGAACTCGACTGACGTCGACTCTTCAGTGCATTCAAATAGTTCTACTATTACTAAACCTTCATGTATCTTATGCCCTAATCAGTCACACTATTTGCGAAATTGTCGTCGATTTAAAAATCTTTCAGTATCTGACAGAATTTCTACTGTGAATGATTATAACTGCTGTACTAGTTGCCTTTCGAGGACACATAAAGTCAGAAGTTGTACAATCAACAATAACTGTTTTATTTGCAATAATCGACATCATTCTATGCTTCATCTGCAGCATACAGATAATTCTATAGTTGAAAGACGTACTGTTTCTACTGAACAGAATTCCAGTGAGGTTCTACGACCCACTAACTCTCACACTCGACAATCGCATACGTCCAATAATGTTACTTCTAATCCACAAGTATTTCATACTAGACAGAATCAGTCCGTTTTGTTAGGGACTGCAATGGTAAACATAATTCATAACAGCCATAAGTATCAGGTCCGTGCTTTAATAGATTCGGGTTCAGAATGTTCTTTCATTTCTGAACGTTTACGAAAAAGATTAAAACTTCCCACTCATTCTTCGAATTCTAACGTTTCTGGCGTTAATAATGTGATTTTTGGAGTTTCAAAGTTTTTTCCATTGGAAATTAGTTCAGATTTAGATTCTTCAATAAAACTATCAACTAACGCATTTGTTTTACCAGAAATAACAGGAAATTTGCCTTCGACTTCTGTAAATGTCGATATTGGAAAATTATTGCCAAATCTTTGTTTGGCTGATTCGAATCTTTTTACCAGTAGGCCTGTAGATATTCTTATCGGAGCAGTTTTAAATCCGCGCATTATTTCACCGGAAATACAACAAAACGTATTAGGGTCATTATTGGCACAGAAAACTATATTTGGTTGGATACTGACAGGTCCAGCTAATCCTAGGGATTTTGAAACATATATCGGCAATTTAACGTATTCTACGTGGTCTAACGCTTTTTAACCTTTAATTTATTATCACTTTAAAATGCTCACAGAAATATATTTATGTTCCTACTACCTTATTTATGTTTTTACCTTATTATTTATTATCTTTATATATATTACATGTCTTATATTAAATAATAATCCACCTGCAGGACTTCGGTGCTGTGGGAAAAGTCGAGAGACTTCTTAAAAATCCACCTGCGGGACTTCGGTTCTGTGGGGAAAGTCGAGAGACTTTTTAAAAATCCCCCTGCGGGACTTAGTCGTTTTAAAATCGTTTGCAATTCCTAAGGTATTGCAAGGTGGCCGGCAATATTTAAGTTAAAATTGATTTAACTACCTTTTTGAAATACTATTTATAACAACGTTAGAATCCTATAAAGCTTCCCTTTTTTTGCAACATTGTTGGAAGATTCTAACGAGTAACCGCTAACGGTGCTTAAATATTGTTTGCCACCAAATTTATGCTTGTTTCGTTTGACATTATAAATCACTTTTGATTTGTCTACGACACAAGCACTACGTGCAATTACATTTACAAAACCATCTACTTCTACGAGGTAATATTTTGGTTTAAATAAAAAGAGATCTTCATCTCCAATAAATTTGAAATATACATTTGTTTTATTTTTATATAAAATCTTGGGAATCATGTTGGAGCTGAACAATAACCGTTAGTTTTGTTTTTGTTTTTCTTCTGAATTTTTCATTCCTTTTTGTTCAACTGATTTTTGTAGTTAAGTTCTTAATAAACCACTGAATAAGAAAGACGTTTTTGGTGTCCGTCATTACATCACCAGTATCTCTACAAAAATCGGCAAAACTTAGTTTTGTATAAGTCTTAACGATTCTGGCGATTTTCGAAATAATCAGGCCTCAGCATCTGCTCTAAGTCTGAACATTAAACGTAAAACCTATTTAGAAAATCTCTTTTTTTGTGATCAAATTATTAAAATATTTCGGAATTAAGGTAAAAAACTACTTAAATGCTTAATTATTAAACAAATAATCCATATTTTAACATACTCACTGGTGTAGGGTATCATACATACGACATTCTTACTTGTTTTTATTTCCGAATTACTTTATCATTTTCCTTCAAAACTTTTTAACGCAAAATGCATAATACTTGTTGTTTTTAACAACAAAATAATAAATTCCTAGAAATAATTATAAAATAATTTGAAATCCCCATCAAAAATACTTTATTGAACTGCAATTTCTGATGAAAGAATGCACTCAAATTTATGTATGGGCAGTCGACAGTCGATACCATTTAAATAATAAACGCGCTACTTTTAATTAACCCTATAATTGATGCTAATTTTGATTTTGGGCAATTTTTAATTTGAAAAATAATTGGAAAAAATGATATACATATAAAAATAAAATAAAAAAGTGGTGTTATATGGGAACTAGGATGAAACATGGACCGTTTCTCATGTTACCCATGCTACATCACTTATGCCTAATTTGAACACATACTAATGTTTATAAATGAGTTACGGACTTTTAAGTAATTTGCTGAAGAATTACCTTTTATGGGGGCTAGGGTCAAATTGAGCCCAATGACGATTATATAAATAATAGATCTGCCGAATTTTGTAGAAATACTAATACATTTAACGAAATTATGAGCTCTAAAGCGTTATTAAGGGGTCCGGATTCATAAACAACATTTTATTTTATAAAATGATTATAAAACAAAATTTTCATTACGTAATTTTATTTATAAATCATTTATAAAATAAAATTGCATTTATGAATCCGAAAATATTTGGACCCCCTGTCTCTAGTATAATCTTCAAAAATGGGAAAGTTAGGTTTTTTATTTGTTCAGTCTTGTTAGACCTTCTCATGAAAATACCCATACGTATGGGTCATTTTGTGTCAAGTGACCCAACTTTAAAAATCGATGTCTTCCGATCCAGAACTGCTGGACTTAGAGCGGATCAAATTTGGACATTTTGGTCATGCAATAGTGCAAATTTCGTCAAAATTGATTTTTTGAGTTTGGTCACTTGATATGAAATTGCCCGTATATGTGTATGTATGTATATATTTTGGTTTTCAAATCTAACACAATGTCTATTTTCAACGGAAAATATATATACATATGTACATACATGATTAGGTTAGGTTAGGTTGATAGGAGGATGTATACTACATCAAATCCGAAGAAATACACCTAGGCCACTATCGGGCCTGTTGTGCGCGCCAATTCAAGAAAAAAAATTGTTCACTAAATGTATTATTTTTCCATGTTCAGAAACTCAGTTTCCTGGACGTAATTCCTAAGAATCTTCCAATCGGTGTTGGTTAAGAATGTTATTTCCGGAATAACATCACTTCCAAGATACTTGGATCTAACAACGACGAATGCCTGAAAATGGCATGCTCTCCATTCGTCTGAATCCGCACGTCCAATTTTGTATAGATGTGCTCGTAAACCTGTGTGTCCACTCAGAATACGTATCATCATACTAACCTCAGACTTGCTAATTTTGAGGAGATTTTTCGTCTTGCTCTCATCAGGGTCACCCCATAGAATCTTTGTGGTTCCATCCACCATTTCATTATTCCAAGAGGCCTTATGGGATTCTCTCATCCATATTTTTAATTCAGCTTTTGTTGCGTCGAATGGTTTTGCGTTTGTCAGGTTAACTACATCGAGCTCCCTTCCCTTTAAAGCTATTACATTCGCCCTTTCGTTGCCGACTACTCCCGAGTGGCCTGGTACCCATATGATGTGAACCTTACCTCTGGGAGAGTATTCAGTTAAAGCTTTCTTACAATCCAATACGGTCTTAGATTTAATTCTATCACCTGATATCGCCCTAATTGCCTTCTGGCTGTCGGTAAATATATTAAGCCCTGTGGGCGCCATATTTATTCTAATCCAATTTACACATTCCGTTATTGCTCGTACTTCTGCCTGGAAGCTTGTGTTATGATTAGGTAAACGGTGGTATATTTCTGTTTCTGGGTCTTCAATATAGAACCCCAGGCCCACTTTGTTCCCTAATTTAGAGCCATCCGTGTAGCAACGGATTCCTATTGGTATTTGCTCTAATGTTCCGCTTGACCAAGACATTCTATCTGGGATTAGCGTTTCAAAGTTTCCGACATATTCTGTGTCTGGTATGCGATCAGGCACGTCCGATGAATGTGTATAACCTTCCAATGTGTCCTATAACCGTTTTTGGCCAGTTCGCCTATCATATCTTATATATGTTTCAATGAGTGCAAAATCTAGCAACGTTTCCAGAGCCTTGGTTGAAGTAGTACACATGGCACCACTTATACCCAAGCAGCATGTACGCTGAACTCCCTGTAGTAGTTTGATATTACACTTTTTGTCCAAAGCAGTCCACCAGATTATTGAAGCATAAGCTAGAATTGGTCTAATTACACTTTTATAAAGCCAATTTGTCATAGTAGGACTAAGACCCCATTTCATGCCTATGGTTCTCCTACATATCGCCCAGCACCGATGTGCCTTGTTGATCCTATCCTCTATGTGGTGTCTCCATTTTAATTTCCGGTCAAGTATTACACCTAAGTACTTAGCTTTGTCTGTCACCGGTATCTTCTTGCCCAGGAAGCAAGGTTCAGTATATGTAGAAATTTTTGTCTTTCTTGTGAAAAGACAGATTTCCGTCTTCGACGGGTTAACATTGAGGCCTCTCGGTTGAGCCCAGCTCAAGGCAGTATTCAGAGCCTCCTAAGCTCTTCTACACAAGTAATTTGGATCCTTTCCCTTTAAAAGTATTACGACATCGTCTGCATAGCAGACAGGTCTAAGTCCTTTCTCGGTTAGGGTCCTTAGGAGGCTATTTATCGTGGTAACCCAGAGTAAAGGTGACAAAATGCCACCCTGTGGTATACCGCGAAATACCTTTTTCCTGATAGTTATATCGTATATCTCGCAGCTTATCCATCTGTTCCTTAGCATGTAGTTGATCCAGTTACGGAGCACCCGGTCAACATGAAACTGGTCTAGGGATTGGATAAGGGTATCAGTGTGCACGTTATTGAAAGCGCCTTCGATGTCAATGCATACCGCCAGTGTATACAGTTTTCTATCGAAAGATTCACCTATGTAGTGGACAACTTCGTTTAAAGCGGTTTCCACCGATCGTCCCTTTACATAAGCATGCTGCTTATATTTAAGGTCTTTGTATGGTATGCTGCTTTTAACCATGCTATCGACTATCCGTTCCAAAGTTTTAAGTAGGAAGGACATAAGACTTATCGGTCGATAGGACTTAGGTGTCGCATAGCTTGGTTTCCCTGGTTTGGGTATAAATATTACCCTTGCATCCTGCCATTTAACTGGGGTATATGCCAATTTTAAGCATGCAGTGAATATCTGTGACAGATGTACGGAAACCAGTCCCGCCTCCATCTGCAAAGTGCCGGGAAAATTCCATCCGGCCCTGCAGCTTTATAGGGAGCAAAGCTCTTGATTGCCCCTTTAACCATGTCAGTTGTAATAACTATTTCCGTGTTACCCTCCCCTTCCACCAATATCGGTTCCTCTATGTTATTCGAGTTTCATTGTCTCCTCCATATCCTCAAGCCTCCTGCCCGTGTCATCGATCATAGATTCCGGTTGGACATGAGTTTTGGATAGGAATTTTTTTATCTTCGATACGTCATTTACGTTATCTACCTGTTCACAGAAAAGTTTCCAGGAGTCTCGTTTGGCTTTTCGAACGATTTTCTTATATTCACCAAGTTTATTACGATACTCATCCCAGTATACTGCGGTCTTTTTGCGCCGTGCCCTGTTAAAAGGTTTGCGAAGAGTCTTCCCAAGGTTCCGGACCTTGCTTCAGCACCGTTGCATCCGATGTTGATAATCCTGTTGAGAGGAGAAAACATAAGTTCTTGTGACATAAGATACATGTTCTCGGGCGAGATCCTGTATCAGCGTAGAAAAGTTGGAAATTTACGTGATTTAATCCAGAAACCTTGTTGCGAATCGTCCAAGGTTCCTGGATTAAAGCTATATGTATTTTACCTGTGGTAATTTTAGCCATCAGAGCGTTGGTAGCTGTCTCGCTCCGATGGAGGTTTATTTGGATAACCTCAATCATGGTCATCCATTAAATTGTCTTCCAGCGAGTTGGTGGTCACCTCCTCGCTATTTGGATTTGGCTCCTCCGGATAGCCTGAAGTGGCTATTAATGCAGTGGGTACTGTTGATGGCACTGCGGTGTCCTTATCAGGAGCAGTAATTTTAATAGACACATTCCCAATTCTGGAGAGCACTGCTGTTCTGTCTTCTGGCGGGTGAGTGATTTCCTCCTCGCTTTTAGGATTTGACTCCTCAACATTGCCAGTACTTGCTAATGATGCTTTGGGTACCGTCTTAGGTGTTTTAGTGTCCTTGTCGGGGCCGGTTTTGACAGCCCTATCAATCGGCGCCTTCCCAATTTTGGAAAGGGCCACTACACTTTCTTCTGGCGAGTTAATGGTAAATTCCTCGATTTCAGGATTTGACTACTCAACGTTATCAGTAGTGGATA